TTCACCCTCATGCCAGACGGGGTATTGAGGTTTATTATTTTAGCACTCATACTGGACGGGGTATGGGGATAGCCCTGGAATTAAGTTTGTTAAGTGGAATGGTTCACATGTAGCAGGAACCCCTATAGATCCCCATAGATACTAGTAGACTGATAAAAAAGGGCAATTGTTGTTTGATGATTTGAATATAAAAGTATGATATGTGCTATATTACAGATTATATATGAATTCATGATATTTATAATGTTATTATTTTCGTATATTGTTTTTATAAATCTCACTGTGGTAAGTGGAGGGTAAATGGTTTGATTATTGATAAATAAATTTATTTAAAATTTGTGCTCTATTGGTTGTTTTTTATTTTATACCAACTTTTACTTCTGTAATGGTGATATAGTGTGATGTCCTTACTGGGCTAGTGTAGCTCATTCCTTATTTAACCATTTCATATCAGGAGGACTTGGTTCCCGAGTCCGATCCACAAGAAGACGGCGAGTAGATGCTAGATACTTTATAGTTTTCTTTATTTTTCTCATTTCTCATATTTCCTTTAAAGAACTTATTCTGTGATATTGTTTAGTACTTTTAAGTTATTATATAAGGGATGTTAAACTTAATCTTTTATTTCGCTTCCGCACTCATATTATTATATATATTTCATTTTGAATTTCCGAGGTCGTTACAATGTCACTTAATAGATTTAGAATCACAATCAAAGTGAGAAACATAAACAAGTATAAAATTATTATATATATTATTTTCCAAGTCAAGAATAAAGAAATTGTTTCTTAAAGACCATGACCAAATACATTGTCATGATTTAAAATGTCTAAAGTATCAGGCTTAAAGTTAAAAGAGAAACACAATCTCTATACACAATTTCAATAAGGTGTATAGAGAGTATCATGAAGGAGTAAAGTATTTTTTCCACATAGCTTGAGCTGGTATATTCCAATTCCAAAGACATCCTCTTCACTGTCGTTGCGCAATACAACAGTTTACGAACCCACTAAGACATGATGGTCCACGAATCTATCTCGATCTTGAACTATATGTTTGCTTGCTCCCATGTCTACAATCCAATTAGGAAAAAAAATAGCACCTAATGCATTGGAACAAAAAAATAAATCAATAGGCATAATAGAGAAATATACCTTCTTCAGCTTGGAATAATCACGAGTGAAGTGATCCTTGTTGCCGCAGTTGTAGCACTTCATTCGCGCTACATTTTTCTCTCTATGGCCCTTAGCCTTATGCTGTTGGGCCACACCACCTTTAGGTCTATTGGCTTGAAAGGGGCGCCGACCTTTCTTAAATTGCTTGACACGATTAGACTTGTTTCCTTTGGGTCTGACCCCGTAGGCAACAAGTGCCACATTGGAAGGATTTAGCGTCTTTTGATGCTCAACTTCCATCTCAATGTGTCTACCAATCTCAAATAAAGTATTAATGTGTTCACTATGAACCATCAAGAGTTTAAAATTTTTCCAACATTCAGGTTTATCTTGAAATGAAAAAATCACATTCAGAACCTGCTCATGATCTCTTATGTCATGCCCTCCACCCTTAAGATCACAAACTATAGCACTCATGATACGTAAGTATTCAACGACACTATGCTTTTGATCTATTTCATATTGTATCATCCTTAAATCCAAAGCACGGAGTCTTGGAGCGAATGTTTGGTCATAAGTGACCTTAAGCTTGTCTCATATATCATTAGTCGTGGAACAATCTCGTTATGCATGCAATACAACATAGTATAGAGCGTAGAACGATCATTCTTACACTATTCTTGGTATGCAGCCAGATTCTTATTATACTAGTCACTACTGATATTTTTTAGATTATATATAATAGTGGTCAAGGTTTTCAAAATTTCGTGCTCATTAAGAAGATACTGAATCTTCTTATGTCATATATCATAATTTGTCCCATCAAACTCCTCGTTGGTGGATAAATTAGTAATCATATTTTTGGTTGCCATTTCTACAAGTACATAAAAAATGGATATTAGGCACGATTATTCATAATTAAATTATCAAAATTTCATTGTTTATATTACATGCTTGAAAATTTTCTTAGGCTCATAATCATCACATAGGATACAAATTAGAAATATTATAATTTAATTATCTTAACAAAAATAAATAAATAAAATATATCTATGTAACCTTTTAATTTTGTCAAACTAATTAGTATAAAATATCATATAAATATATGTAATTATCTAAGTTTTAACAAAAGATGTGTAACTAACTAATTTACATAAACTAATTAATATATATTAGTACAATGATAATAGAATAGTATAACAAAAAACTAATATAGTGTCCAAATAAATAAATTAGTATGTATACATGGAATACTATTAAAATACACATATTGCCAACCAATGAATATGCTCAAATACATAAATATTCAGCTATATTTCATAGCTTAATTGGTTAGAGAAATATATATTATCTTTCAAGTCAAGAACGAAGAAATTATTTTTTAAATATCCATGAATAAATATATCGTCATGATATAAAATGTCTAAAGTATCAGTCTTAAAGTTAAGAGAGAAACCCAATTTCAATAAAAAAATAATTAAAAATAAACAACATCGTACTACTCCAGGTGCATAGAGTGTATGCATGAAGGAAGAAAAAAAAAACTAAGAGAGAAAGAAAAATAATGAACTATGTGCCAAAAGATAAAAAAAAACAAGTGCACTGTGTGTGCGTGAAAGAGAAAAAAAAGGGGGGCTGGGGGAGGAGATTGAAGATATATATATATCTACATATATTTAGTTGTTTATTCTTTTCTCTCTCATTATGAGGATGATAATGTCACCTATTTTGTTTTTTTTTTTTTTAAATTAAATGGTGAGAGTAGGTTTTGAACTCAATACCTCTCACTTACTAAATGAATATTTTGATACTATTGTTAAAAAATTACGACTAATCTTAATACTTAAGCAATAAGATAAGATGCTTGTTTTTCTACCTACAAAGAACAATTGTTAATACGTTTTGTTTTCTTTTATATACTATTAAAGTTTCGGATAATTTTCAAACCTAAAAACTAAAGTCTATTTATGGTTTAACTTAATATGAGATAGATAATGATAATATATTTTTTTCTGAATGTTATTTGTTTTAGTAAGTGAACAAAAATAATTTTTTTCTCCCTTATATATTTACCAAGAGTCATCCTTTTTACAAGAAGAGTTTCTATCTTAAGATTTACGAAGAATCGTGTCTTTTTATAATGGGTGTTATGGATGTTTTTAATTTTATACAATACATAACAAAATAAAAATAAGAGTACCATAAAAATAAGAGTAAAAATTAATAATAAAAATCATTAACAAAATTAATAATATAAGTAAATTGTGATAATATCAAACACTATTAGTAACAATAGCAATAAAAATGACATTCTTTGCCGGCGTAAATTGATTTAATTAATTTGCCCATTTTTATTATTAATTTATTATTATTTTTATCACTTATGTGTTATATTATTTTTATTATTTTATTTGAATCAGATAGATAATAAGTAATGACAAAAAAGATTTTTAGTTTATTCGTTTAATCACATTAATGCTTTAAAACACTAAAACCAATTAAAAAAACTGGGTCAAATAGCTAAAATCTTTAAATAAAAATCTTAACAACATTCTTGCAGGACAAAAAAAAAGGAAATATATATACATATATATAATCATGTGAATATCTTTGAGAATACATATACTTCAATTATTTCTATTAACAAAAATAATTTAGGTAACTATAGATTATGTCCTACTCTATATTTAAAAGAGATCTTAACTTTAGTTTTTATTTTCATTTCTTTTTTTGGTGACAGCTTTGGGACAGTTCAAACTTTGTAGTATATGGTCTAAACCAATTTTCTTAATGTAATATAGTGATTAAATAGGATATACGGGCACATTAAATGTCACAGTGGATTTCCTCAACCAACATTTGCCAGAGAATGTCTTATTATTTAACACCATTAACCTATAAGACAAAACCATTAAACTATAAATTGTTAGGAATTTTCATATCCTCTACATATCATTTAAATAATTAATTATCAGTACATATCATATATCTAATGTTCTGCTGCTAATGTACGGTAGTTTGATTGATTAATAAGAAACATTATCCCCTTTCCAAAAAAAAAATATATATCAACCCCAAACAAATTGAATTGAAAAATTAAACAATTATATAAAATAAATTATATGGTGGTTTACATTTCTAAATTTATATTTTATCAAATGTTTATGAAATATATTCATACGCAGTTAATAGTGTTTCATAAGAATTTAAATTATAATATTTCAAAAATATTTGACTATAGCTAATAACCAGTTTGTGGGTTAAAATATCATGCGAAGTAAATTGACATTCAGAGTTAAACTTGCATTATCTAATATGTAGATCGAATTTAAACACAACTTAACGAAATGATCACACTTTATCAATTAGTTTCATAAGGTTATCGATTTCTAAAATTGGAAATATACAAGCAAATCGTATATGTACCAAACCCAGAAAAATAATATGAGTTTAATAGTGTTTCTAATTATAATAGTATTACACAGACAATAGAAATCGTGTTTTCTAGTTTTGAACTTCAATCAGATCTGTAATCATGTTTTATGCATGCAATAGAAATCTGCAGCAAAATCAAATTACGGCAAAGGATTGGATTTGTAGCTGTAAGCTTAATCATGTGGGTCGACAGAGACGACGTCGTGGGCGGCAAAAACCTAATATTAACTGGTTCATAAAACAAATTAAGAAAGAAAATAAGTACATGATATTTATATGTAATGTATATATAGGATAAGATATTAGAATACAAGAAATCAAGCTGTTGAACATCATATTTACCTACATATATATATATATATATATATATAATGAAATTGTAAAGAAATATCCAGTTTATCTGTTAGAACCACAAACACTCCTGAAACCTCTCTACATCATATATATATATATATATATATATATATAATATACTACGTGCCGAGAAGAATTATAACAGAAAGAAAATAAAATAAAAATGAAGAATATCAGAATCTCTCTCTCTTTCTCTCTCGATCGCTACATACATATAGATATAGATGTATACAGATTCATGGTTTGTAAATGTTGGCGAGAGTTTGCAAAAGCTTAACTTGCAACCTTAGAAGCAAAATGTAATCCGCCGTCTTTGTAAAAAGCCGATCCGGCTGCAATCCTTCGCCGCCCGGAATTAGTTTCTGCAACTTCCTTACTTTTATCTGGATTGGCCGGCTCCGACCCATCTTCGTTCTTCTCCTCCTACTCCATCTAACCCTAGAAATCAACTCCTCCTTGCAGTACCCATTGGACTCCATTAATGTGCGGCACCTGACACTTTATCTGAACAGAGAAAGATTGAGAAATTCTGCAACGGAGGCTAATGAGGGATGGAGAGAACTTGAATTGGGTGTAAATTGAATTTGTATGAAGTGGAGAAATGGAAGAGGTGGGGAGGGCAATATAAATGATGAGAAGGGTTGCAAGGAGACGTGCCATGTGAGCCGAGCCATATTTTGCTTTTTTGTTTTTCGGCTTTTAAATCGATAGGAATTATTTATTTGGAAAATATGTCTTTCTCTCTTTTTGCCTTTTTTGGGGGCTCGGTTGGCCGTAGCCGGGTCGGGTTTTAATTTAATTTGGAATTCTCCCACAAGCTCCATCTTTTGTCGTTTAGCTAAGTGCGGACCTGGCTTTGAAGAGAACCACACACGTGTCTGACAGCTCTCTCGCCCGCTCGCTTCTGTCCTCGTAATCCCCGAACGCTGACAGTTTCTGTTCAACACGTGTCTGAAATCCTATTGGCCACGTCATGCAGTAATCAAACGGCTCATAATCGACCGCCCCGTTTTTTGTGATTTCGTCACGAGTCTGGATTGCGTTAGAAGTGTTAGCCAACCAGGTTCCAGGTAGGGGGTGAGCTGAGCCTGAGCCTGGCAAATGGACGTGGCTGATGTGATCGAAATCTCGAATATGTGGGCCCCGCAAAATCAACTTGGCAAGATTTTGACCGTACGATTCAAGAATATAGTGAACAAATTTACACCCTATTAATTAATTAATAAAATACAAATGGAGCAGTAAGTAAGCGGTGTACGTACTTTGGGTACTTCACGGCGACAAGATGGATTAGTTTGATTATTTTCTTTTGTTTTTCTTTAATATCAATTATTGGGTAGAGGATTAAAACAATAACCGAAATGATTAACGCAGCAATTTGGAAAATAATCATAATTACTGCTTTTTACGTGTTGATATTCGTGATTGAATTTTTATTTTATAAATTTTTTTTTGTTGCTAAGTTATACTAATGGTCAGTTAATTAATATAAATTTTATCTTGCGCAATTAATCTAATTGGGAAAGCTAAATAATTATTATAGAAATGCATCATTGGAGTTTCCTAATGCGGTTACTAGCTTATTATTATCGCTTTTACTAAATTTAAAATAAAATACAAATAATAATTGAATTTCAATTAGTTTAAATTTAATTTTATTGTGATTCGTTATTTGTACAATTTTATTAAAAAAATACAATTAATTATAATTTATTAATCTAAACTAGTAAGAAAAAAGGATATACAACTTGAACATACTAAAATAGAATATTATTCTTTTACAACTTTATATTAATTTTTTCATATCTGTTAAATTTATGTTTTAAACATCGTGTGTTCTGATTAGTTTCTAGGTCTCATTTTACATACTCAGGCCTATATATATGTATATATATACATATACATATATATGTAATTGCAAGTTCTATTAATTAGTGGGATTTGCCATTTGGCTTTGGGACAAGGCACGTGCATGATTTCTTTCTTTTGCGCATTCACATCTCCACCACACACATTAAATTAATTAAATTTAAATTGAAGAATATAATTATAGAAAAAAAATCACCAGAGGGAATAAAATTAACAGATATAGCAAAATTAAATTAAACAATTCGTGGATATTAAATACATATATATTTCTATATATAATAACGCGTATTTTCCGAGTGAACTTTTTTTTTTTTTTTTTTTTTTTTTTCTCTGGAAACTGCATTTAATGATTAGAATGCCCACCCCACGTAGGAGTGATGTATGGGTACATAAAAACCAAAAATTAAACCCATCATAAGCTGTGGACGACTCTCCTCCACCTTTTGATGAATGTATGTGAAAAAATATGTATGTATGATGAATGATGATGATGTTGTTTGCATGTAGTTATCATCATATGATCTGTCAAAATCACCATCATCCTTCACATGGAAACACCTTTATATATGAATGTTCTCATGAATCCTGAAACTCTGTAAGTCGGGACCGCTCATTACTACCCTACCTTTGTCCTTTTTCCGTTTCTTTAGTTTTTTTTTTTTTTTTTTTTTAAAGGCAAAAATCCCACCATAATATACGAAATTAAATATATAAATGGGTATTGATAGTATATAAATGGGTATAATTTAATTAATTAAATTAATGAATCGAACTAAGTGTTTGCACAACTTGAAAGAAGATTCAAAAAGTGCAATGAAGAACACAAGTTAAAAGAGATGAGGGTAAGCATGTCTTGAAATTGGCTGTCTCCTGCACAACAGAATTATATAATATGCTTCTTTGTCGCCTTTTGTACACCAACTCAAATACCACATTGATATAACACGTAGCATTTTTAATTAAATAAATAATTTTGTTATATATATGTGTGTGTTTATTTATATATAAATATAATTAAAAAGTTTAGAGATGTGGATAAACAAGTTGGGATTTAAGAGTAATTGATTTGGGGATGATGATGAATGAGGTCCATGATCCCTCAACGCTCCGTTGCACCCTACACCCCATACTGTGCATGTGGCTTGCCAACTCACTGATCATGACCATTCATTACTTACACGTTGTTATACACTACTTCAATATCTACACATTCCACTCCCCACTATCCAACTTAATCTATTTTATTTACTCGTATACTTTTCTACTATTTTAAACAAATATTTATACATATATATATATAGACATATACATTGTAAGAATGTATTAATAAAAAATATAATTAATTTTTGTTTAATAATTATTTTTCATAATAAACCATTAACAAATAAACTCATTTACTCAGTATTCTGTTAACTACGGCGTTTATTTTCTTTAGAAATAGAGTATTTTATTCGTCTCAATAAAAAAAAAAAAAAAGGAGAAAATATTTGTGTTTGAAGCCCATAGGATTCGAACCCTGTACGCATGACAACAGCCCACATTGGAACGGCGTCTATAATGCTGGGCTTCATCTAACCTTTCTCGTCCTTCTGGTTCAAAATAATTATGAATTTTATGTTTAAATTTATATTTGAATTATGTTTAAAATAAATTCTTTTAGTATATTTTAGAATTTATTTATAATTTTTTTTTTATTTAGCTTAGTTAGAAAATGTAAATTATATCACGATAAGAAATAAATTTGAGATTGTATGAAATTTATATGAGATTTAAAGAATATAGTCAGACGTTTTACTAAATTTTATGAAACCTGAAATTTATTATTCAAATTTCATATATGATTCTTTTTTAGCGTAGTTAAATATTTTTTAGTAGCATTTTTGTTTTCTTTAAATATAAATTTTCAAATAACTTACGTGATTTTTGAATTTGTTCAAATTATCATAACCTTAGTAAGCTAAAATTTTATAAATATTGTGAAACATATTCATATTTTTAAATTCATAAGGTCAGCTATTTATATTCTTATGAAAATTTTTACATCATTATAATAGAAAACATAAGTTTACAAGTGTATTTCATAAACAATTTGAATTTGTTATGTGCATGTATACAAAAATATATTATATGAAAAAAATTATAAAATAATTATTCATATAATTAGAGAGGACACACACACTAATTATATACGAGATGTGTTTTTAAAATACACAAATGATCATTATATATATATACACATGTACATTTCATATAAACAACTTTTATAATAATATTATAATTATCATGTTTGTCACAAAAATTAATATTGACACTTCTATTTATTAAAATATTACATATTATCACTGCTAGTATTTTATAATATGTTATAATATTCAATCTTATTATAATTATAGTTGTTGTATAATTTTTATTATTTTACCACAACATTTGCTACCTAATGCATTCCTCGTTGATATCTATTATAATAAATTGTTATTGATAATCATTATCGTCACCAGTCACATTTTTATTATCACAATTCTCACAGTTATTGCTAATATTATTATTAATATCATCTATTTTGTTGGTACTATTATAAGTATTACATTCATCATATTTACATTACTCGTACTTTCATTGTAACGGCCCCGGAAATTTAAATGAGATATATGTATTAAAAACATCAAATGCGGAAGCGTAATAAAAATTTTGATTAACATCCCTTACACAATAACCAAAACGTACTCAAAACATGAAAGAACAAACTAACTAAAAGAGATACTCGATATATGAACTATAAATATAACTATAAAGTCTTTAGGCGTCCCCTTCGTCGTCTTCATGCGGAACGGGCTCGGGAACAATGTCTTCCTGATCTGAAATGGTTAAATAAGGAATGAGCTACACCAGTCCAGTAAAGACATCACACTATTTCACCGCCACGGAAATAAAGGTGGGTAGAAAACAAAAATAACCAATGGAGCATAATTTATAGCAAATTCGTTTATTAACATAAAAACCTTTACTGTCCACTTACCTCGGTGAGATCCATGAAAACAACATATGAAAATAATAACCTTATAATATCATGAAATCATACATACTTTATAACATAACACATATCATACCTTTACATTTCAATCATCAGAAAACAGATTTCTTCTTTTACTATCCTACTAGTATCCCTGGGGATCCATAAGGGGTATCCCGCTACACGTGAACCATTAACATTTACAACCTGATTACAGGGCCGTCCCCATACCCCGTCCGGTATGGGCGTCAAAACCATGAACCTCAATACCCTGTCCGGTATGAGGGTGAAACGGGCCGTCCCTATACTCTGTCCGGTATGAGCGCCAAAACACATAAGGTCTCCATACCCCGTCCGGTATGAGAGACCACGTTCCCGGTAGGGTTCCCTACGGACCCGGTCCGTTCACCATCTCCCAAAATATATAGTCAGGCTGTCCACATTATCCATTTATCAATTCACATAACCTTTTTGCCATTTTTCTTGGTTTCAATCATCCAAACACACACAACATGTAAACTAGTAATGGACACCAAACAAGACAACACAGTATCGGGTTAAGCATAATACCAATCATAATAAAAGAAACCATGATTCATGCATACGAGACCATAATATAATTACATCAAACATCATACTGCATTTAATACTGAAAATTAAATCAAACAATAACAGACCAACCCAGTATCAGACTCGGGCTCCATTGGCAACCTTAATCAATTATACATCTATAAAGTCACACAGTACAGTTTAATTATTTATTTGGCTTCAATACCGTGATAGGAAATAGGGTAAGGGGTCCTTACTTGTTTCGGGGTCTGAATACGGCTCTACAGTGCGCCTACAGGCTGTCCCTAATTTTTCATAGGAAATTAAAACGCACTACTGGTACCTGCACGTGTCCCAAAAAATCCAAAATTAGACATAGGGCCCCTTTCGGCCAATATCGCAATTCCGGCACGGCGGCTCCGCCGTGCTCCGGCGACGGCACTGCCGCAAGCGGCGGCGATTCGCATCGAGTCGGCCGTTTTTGGCCGAATTCAGCCACACTTGCATCGATCCTTGCGATAAAACAACCCTAGGGCCCTCGGTGGGCCGAAAAATCACGAAAAATCGAAACTTACCGGCGGCGGTGCTCTCGGGTGCGGCGGCTCCTCCGACGTGAGTCGCGTTTTGATGTTTAGCTCCGATTAACCTATAGAAAAAAGAACGGTGATCACAGTGGTATAAAATTTGCATCAAACGGAGGCCGGGAAGGGCCTCATCGGAGGCAAAAACCGAGGAGGGGTGCGGCGGCGCTGCTGGGTTTCGGCTGGGTTTTTCGGCCGTTTGGCTGGTGGTTTGGCTCCAGTTTGGCCATAGGCGGACTCAGCATCAAAAAACGAGCAGGGAGGAGAAAATTTACCTCAATCGGTTGTCGAAAACTTCCCCGGTGCGGCAGCGGCGGGTGGCGGCGGGTGGCTCCTCCGGCGTCTGGTTCTTCTTCTCCGGCGAGGCACTGGCGGCTAGAGTTTTCTGGTCAGGTGTGGGTGGGGTTATTTATACATTTTCCTTTTAATCTCAGCCGTTCATCAAGATTAAATCTGGACCGTTCGATCGCAATTTAATTGGGATTAAATCTGGGCCATTCACACGATGCAATCTGTGCCGTCCGATCGCGCGCACGCGGATCGCCCACGTGGCCCGTCCCCTGGTCAGCGTTTCCTTGTCACGCAGCGCGTGCTGGTTGACCGGGGCTGCTGACCGGGCCGCTGACATGGCTGCTGACGTGACACAACTTTTCTAAATTGCGTTTTGACCTCTGGTTTCCGATTTTCTTTTTAAAAACACCATCAGAATCCAAATTTTCATATATTTTTCTCAAAATCAATTTCAATTAAATTCAAATAATATTTTTACCCAATTTATCACTATTATTATTTGTA